CCAAAAGGGTGCCCTTGGTAGTGGAAACGCAAGTCTGATAAAGGTGACCCGTACCAACTCCAACTGTACCGTACTGTCCCAGTCAGTGGTAACGAACCATAGTATTCAGCTTAAAGTGACATTTAAAGGCTTACATTTTTTGCAGAAATATCTAAAAATGTCTACAGATTCTGTCTGGCCCTACTTATAACCACAATTTATTCTATCATTATAAAGATATTTATGTTTATATAAACACTATAAATGAGGAGGACTTCTCCCCTCCTCAATCCTCAGGTCTCTTGCCCTGTCTATTTCAACCATTGGGCCTGTCGGTAATCTGGAGGATTTTAAAAATAGGCAAACACAGCAGCACAGATATAGGCGATGTGTCTGAATGGTAACAAACTCAATTGATAAAAGATAAAGTCTGCCATTCTCCAATTTTCGTACAAGTCTTCCAACAAAAATGCTTGCTGCAAACCAACAGCTTTGCCAGACAGCATCGTGGGGAAAAACATACAGCAAACCCCTTGGATCATGGAAACAAACACATACGAGCCGTGCCGTGCAGACGCGGTCTCACCCAGTCATTGGGTATCACAGTTTGGCAGGTCTGCTTTGCCTTTGGAAAGCACATGCTGTCATGAATAATTAAGAAGCCGGCTTTTCTCATAGGATAAGGAAACTCAGCTATGAATATTAATGAGAAACCGACATGTCATCTCTCCACTAGCAGATTTGCGCTACATCACCATTTTTGATCCCGCCCCAATATTTATTTTAAACCCGGAAGCTGAAATTAGCTGACAAAAGCTCCAAATTATCCAGTTTTCCCTACAATTAAAGCTGACAGGTGCTAACATTGTCTTAACTGATGCTCAGCACACACAAATCTGTTGAAAATGTAAAAAAAAAAAAAGGAATTGAGGGTGTCTTGAGCCTTTAAACAAATAAGTTGAATTGAAGTAAATAGATGGGATTAACCAAAGCATATTCAATCGATTATTAACATCAGAGCTCACAGCAGGTCTGCCTTTAAAGGTTTATCAGCTCATAACAAAGTGTTTAAAGTCTAATGATTCATTTAATGTCATCCTAGAGAACTGCTCTCTGTTTCCTCAGCTGTGATGATTCTGACACTCTGAAGTCCACATGAACAGTGTGTATGATGCTCTGTGGCGGAGCTGCAGATCAGGCAGCGCTTCTCCATGCATATTTCATTAAAGTGTAGTTTCTGCTGTTTTGCATATGTTTTCCTGCTCTCTGCACTCGCACAAACACTGCTGATGAGCTAAATATGACTGCTGCCCTCTCATTCATTTATTTATTTATTACCCGCATTCAGTGTGTGTGTG